TGTCTTTCTTATCAACAGTTTTTAAGTCTGGGGTGTTGTGTGGCAGGTGCTTGTCTGTTTGAATTCTAAAGACCCAGAGCACTTTAGCATCTTCAATTTCTATTACTTTATTTTGTGGCCCCACCAGTTTTTGCTTGCAGGCAAATGGTATTTCTTGCAGATGTTCCAATACACCATTGTTGCTACTTTGTCATGCTGTTGTTTGTAGTCGGTCTGTGTGATCTTCTTGCAGCAGTGAACTAGGTGGTCCACTGTTTCTTCAGCTTCTTTGCAGAGGCAGCATTTGCTGTCTGTGGCTGTCTTCTCCATTCTGGCTTTGTATGCATTTGGTCTTAAGGCTTGGTCTTGTGCAACCAGGATTAGCCCCTCTGTCTCTTTTTTCAACTCTCCTGCTTTTAGCCATTGCCAGGTCTTGTTATCTGCTTTGTCTGATAATTTTTTTGTGTACTGGCCATGTAATACTTTGCCTTGCCATGTCTCTTTTCTGTTCTTCATTTGGTTTAAGGCTTGGTCTTGTGCAACCAGGATTAGCCCCTCTGTCTCTTTTTTCAACTCTCCTGCTTTTAGCCATTGCCAGGTCTTGTTATCTGCTTTGTCTGATAATTTTTTTGTGTACTGGCCATGTAATACTTTGCCTTGCCATGTCTCTTTTCTGTTCTTCATTTGGTCTTTCTTATAGGCCAGTTTTGTCTCTTCAGTATTCAATAAGCCTTCATGGTGTACTAGCTACAGTGCATCTTCTTCGCTGTCCTTCAAATATTCTTCCAATGCCCTTTTTTCTTTTTCAACTGTCTGGCGTATTTGCAATATTCCATGCCTACCTATGCTCTTTGGTAAGTAGAGTCTGTCAGTGTTGCTGCATGAATGAAGGGCATGATTCATTGTCATTATTTTCTGGTTTTCCTATCCAGGGCTTCTAGTTCTGCTTGAGTCCAGTCCACTATTCCAGCTGTGTATCTAATGACTGGAATTGCCCAGGTGTTAATCTCCTTGATAGTATTTCCTCCACTGAGTTTGGGCTTTAAGATCTTCTTTACTCTCATGATGTATTCACTACTAACCTTCTTCTTGACTTCTGTGTGCTTGATGTTGTCAGCTTGAAGGTATAGGTATTTGTAGTGATCTTCTCCATCCAGTCTCTTGATATTATTTCCATAGGGCATCTTGATTCCTTCAGTTTTCACTATTTTTCCCCTGTTGATGGTCAGGGTGGCACATTTGTCCAATCCAAACTCCATTGTGATACCTTGGCTGTATATTCAGATAGTGTTGAGAAACAGTTCTATTTCAGATGGTGTTTTTCCATACAGCTTCAGATCGTCCATGTAAAGGAGGTGAGATAGCCTGGCAGATGTTTTTGATGTTTGATAGCCATGACCTGACTTGTTCAGTATTGTTGACTGTGGAATCAA